TGAAAATCGTAATTTGAAATATTGAATTCTACCTTAAACATTTTAAAGCGGCTTAATCCTTGGTGTATGATTAAATATTATTCTTTAATAAAAATTATTGTCTTGTCCCAAAAAATAATCTTAATCATGCGTGGATATTAACAGGAATTTAGACTAAAGGCTTATAAATTAGACTAAGAGCTTATAAAATCAAATGATCTAATTCAAATGAAGTATCTTGATAACGTGAGCTAGCCCACATCAAATATAGTTTGATCTGAGTCTGAGTGGAGTGAGTTTGGATCATACACTGGAATCAAAATAAGACGCTTTGAGGTATATTTTGGAGGGTTTACATAATCTTTAAATCTAACAAATTTATAACCAAATTGAAACGAGTCTTATAAGTCTAATATCACTTAATTCTGACATAATTAAGGCACTTAAATTCTCATAAAATCTCATCTGATCAATTTGATCATTCTAGATCGTATAATGGAGTTTTTTGAATTCGTGTAATATTTTTAGAGATTGTCTCTCACAAAATTTATAAATAGAGACGTAACTTTCTTCATGAATGAGATAACATGCACCTGCACCTGGACTTGAAAGAAAAAGTTGAAGGAACTCCAAGCACTTGGGGCTCCAAGCACTTGAAGCTCCACCGTTGTCGTTCAGCCAAAGCCGCCGCCACCGCCATTGTCGCGTCACATTCCTCACTGTCAGTGTTGAGATGGAGCCCAGTCCGCCCTCCCGTTCTGTCGCGGGGCGAAGCGCCCGCTTATTAGTTTCGTAAAATTGAATGAAGACCCTGATCACTTCATTGCAAAACCATCTCTCCTATTTAGTTCCTTCATTGTGAGTGTGCGGTTGGTGTTCCTTTGTTCGTAATGGAAGGGAAGAGGAGTGCAAGCAGTAGTTCCTTGTGGCAGAAGAAATAAGAAATAAGAAGAGAAAGGTTGTTCTCCCTTGACTTCTTCTTGGTGGCTTGTGACATAGAGAAATTTGGTTTATTTCTTTTGTAAGTTTATCTTCGTTAGTGTATCTCAGTGTAGAGAGAGAAGAAGAAAGAACAAGGAAGTGAGAGATTCTTCTTATAAGTCGAGATGATCGACTGGTGTAAATTCCTCAAGTAGCAAAATCCTCAGCAACTTTGTGGATGTAGCCAATTTGTCGAACAATGTAAATTTGTGTGTTCCACTGTGTTGCTGTTTTTTTGTGTGAATTTTTTTGTTCCAATTTTTGCTTCTTCATTAAATATTGTTCATGTATTTTAAATTTCATATATACCACAATAACTGGTATCAGAGTTTGTGGTTTTGATCTGAGGAAAAATGATTGTTGCAGATGAAGTTAAGGTTTCAAGGTTTGAGAATTTTGATGGCACATATTTTGGTTATTAGATGATGCAGATAGAATACTACCTCTATGGGAAGAAACTTCATCTTCCATTATTAAAGAAAATACCTGAATGGATGGATGAGACTGAATTGAATATGTTGGATTAACAGATTCTGGGGGTTATTCGATTGACTCTATCGAGGTCCATTGCACGCAACATCGTCAAGAAGAGGACGATTACAGATCTCATGATAGCCTTATCAAGCATGCATGAAAAACCATCAACAAATAACAAGGTGTACTTGATAAGAAGTTATTCAATTTGAAGATGGCAGAAAGTGTTTATGTTGCTCAACACCTGAATGATTTCAATAATATCACAAATCAATTGTCGTATGTTGAAATTAATTTTGAATGATGAGATACGTGCACTAATCTTGTTGACTTCATTGTCAAATAGTTAGGAAGCCATGAGAATGACAGTTAGCAGTTCTGTATGTAAATCTAAAATGAAATATGATGATATTCATAATTTGATTTTGGGTGAGGATGTGCACAGGAAAGATTATAGCGATATCTCAGGTTTGAGTTTGGCACTGAATGTTAATTTCAGAGGGTGATCACATGACAAAAACTCAAATAAAAGGATATCAAAATCAAAGTATGGTCAACAGACAACCTATTGGAAATGTGGAAATGTTGGTCATGTAAAGAGGAACTGCAGAAATCCCAAGAAAATAGAGAATGATAGCGCAAATATTGTATCTGGAGAAGTACATGATGCACTACTGCTGGCAGTTCATAGTTTTGTTGATGACTGGATATTGGATTCAAAGACTTTTTTCTATACAACATTCTATCTAGAATTGATGAGAAATTATGTTGCATGTGACTTTGGGAAAG